CCGCCGGCATCCGCCGGAGCAGTCTTCTGCTCGGCGATCTTCTTCTGTTGAGCAGCGATCAGCTGCGTGAGATCATCGCTGTCGTCATCGACAAGGATATCGAAAGGGTTCAAAGTCGTCATCGCCGATCAAAAATCCCAGCTCGATCTCCAACAAACCGCAACAAAAACCGCAATACTAGCACTAACCTCTGCTCAATTCGATCGCCATTAGAGGGGGAGAGCGAAAGCCGAGGCTTTTTAGGGCGAAAAGAAAACGGATGAAGGCTGAAACCCTAGCCGCCCCCATTTTTCTAAATATTTATTATCATTATCAAATGACAGAAACAGGCCTGAAATTATGAGGTAATTGCAGTAGTACCGGTAGAAGGAGCGGATAAGGATAAGGGTATTTTGGGCATTGTGCTTTAGATGCCTTTCAGACAAGACGATTGCGGTGGTCTCAGTAGGTTGACAGCTGCGACTTCAAGATTCGGGATCTTTGAGAGCGGCTCAAGCCCTCAAGCCGTACCCGGCCTCGCGTGAGTTTTGAGGTGCACGTGGGGGCCAACGACGGCTGTCGATGCTTATATTTTGCGTTGCGTGTTCGAGGCTGGTCTCGTGTAAGCACGTGAGTCTGTCTGACGTGGAAAAGTTCAGATAAGCCCAGTACTTCCCCCCCCCTCTTATTTCCTCTCGTTCCACTTAAAAAATGATCTGATTTACACAATTTTTTTAATAACATATTTAATTATATATACATTAAATATTATGCAATATCATCATATTGATACGAGACGCTTGATCTCAACAGACCTATACCGTACGCCGTCCTGCGCTGGCTTGCTCTCTCAAAGTCCTCCCCTTTCTTCGGCGTTAAAAACCCTCGATTGGCGCCATGATCGCTCTCAAAGCTCTGCGACGCCTCTCCCCTCTCTCCATTTCTCAAAGGATCCTCTATTGCCAACTCCATGGAGGTTCTTGATTCTTCCCCTTTACAAAAGATCCGATTTTTTCCTTAATTTCTGTATATTTTTAATTTATTTTAGAGCACTCTCCCTTGTAATTTTAGGTATATTGTCGAGAAGAGAAGATGAAGTTGCTTCGATCCATCCTAGTGCTGTTGTCCATCCTGATGCCGTCATCGGAAAGGTCCAATATCAAAATTATTATCCTGTTCCGCTTCAAATTTACACTTTTTTTTTACAGAAATGTGATCTTTTTTAAATAAATTTTTTGAAGTGAGTATCTCTGCGGTCATTTGGTAATATGCAATCTTATAGTTCTAGAATAAAGAATGAGAACCTAACCGGAAGAAAAGGTGCAAAAATCTAAAATATTTGTTTGAGATGTTTTTTTTTAAACTATACAAGCGGAAATTGGAAGCTTTACCTGTTGGTTTCAAAATTTGAACTTTACTTTGTTTTGTTGATGGTCATGTCGGTTCTCGACGGAGCACATATTTACTTCAATTTGTGTTGGTATTTGTAGGGTGTTGTTATTGGTCCCCTTTGTACCGTTGGATCTTATGTGAACATTGGCGATTCTTGTCGACTACATCCGGCGAGTCATATCATGGGAGATACTAATTTAGGGGAGAATTGCATCATACGAACGTAAGTTTGTAATCATGTCTCGCACCCTATTAAATTCTGTTGTCTGCATGTAGAAGTAAACTTATGGTGCATTATGTTTTCTTTTCAGTAGTTATTAAGCATCAGTCGAGCAACGAGTGTGATGCAAGTATTCTTTTTCCTTTTTGTTTAACCTGCTGTGCATGAAAAATCTCCCAGAAAGCGTGATTCTTAATTTTTCTACCGAAAACTTTTTAAGTTGTTAATGTTAGGATTGTGTCTTTGATTATTTTTATAACTTCATGAGAATTAGATATGGTTAGAGATCTATCATGATTATGAGATTGAGTTTCAACATGATTAGGAGTTTGAATCCTATTCTAATTAGGAAGTTAGGCTAGAGATAGTGTTTTTGGTTTCCCTATATATGTTATTCTATTGTTGGAGGAAAAATCAAGAAACAGAGGAGAGAGAGCCAATATTCTTGTAATCTAGGGTTAGCAGAGAGCGTAGCCTGATTCAAGAATATTGTATGAGAGGCGAGAATTTCGTAGTCTTTATCCGTGCAAAAGATTACATCATTGGGAGAGGGTTTCACAGTCTTTGTCCGTTCAAAAGATTATAAGGAGAAGACTTTGGAGATAATATGAGAGTTGATTATGTATGTGAGGTTGAGAGATTGAGAGACGAGAGTTGAGTGATTCCTCTTGTAGTTCTCCCTGATATATAGTGAATTTCTAGTATTGTTGCCCCATGGACTTAGGTCGAAGTTGGTCTATCGAATCACATAAATCTCGATGTTCTTTCTTCTTGATGGTGGTTATTTTCTATCTTATTGATTGTGGGTTAGCTTCCAAGTTGTGGAGATCGTAGTAGGCGGGGAGACTAAAATTCCCTAACAAGTGGTATCAGAGCCATGATGATGGATCCGGGAGCGAGTTCGTAAGATAGACATTGTACAAAAGTGAAGATCGGCGGCGTTACAAGAATCAAGATGGAGAAAAAGAAGAAAAGGGAAAAAGGAGAAATTATTGTAGCATGGGTCCGCGAGATTTATGAGAGAAGGAAAGGTATCAATCACGTGGGTTGGATTTCATGTTGATATGGTGCTGGCTGATTTGTGGTGTTTGGTGTTTTTTTAATCCGACAGTCCATGATTATTCGGCAAATGGGTGAATCTGAGGCAGAATGTAGTGATACATGGGTCGATTTCTGAGTTTTGGAGTGCTCTGAACGAGATGGGAGGGCTTGATTTTTTTAGATTTTGTTCAGATTGGTCAGAAAGTGCTGAAAAGTTCTGATAGTGATGACCCGACAGATCTGATAGCAGATAAGGCAAACGAGTATGTGAGAATAAGATTGGTATAGAGAATCAGATGTAATTCTAGCAGTAGAGTTGTCAGCATACAATTATTTAGGGTCATCGCGGGAACAGTAGTTGGTTGGTGTGTAGACTCGAGGAGGACAGTGCCAGATTAGGTGTAGCTTGGAAGCAGGCACGACTGAGTGACACACATACTAATGAAGATGGTGGCATTAGACTTGAAGATGATGAGCGCTCATATTCAGTCCAAGCCAAGTGATGGAGGAATAGAGGCATCCGACTCGTAGTGTGTAGTAGAAGAGGTGCACCGATATAGTTTGAGACGAGCGATGCAGGTGGAGCACAAGGACAATAAGCAGGGGAGGCTGTTGTCAGGCTCAAGTTGGGAGGAGAAGCATGGCCGATTTGCTTCTAATGTCAGAGGTGACGAAGATCTCTTGGTGCGCACAAGTGAGGTGGAGGTGCCACAGCAAGGCAGATGAAAGTGAGGGTCATACAGGCATCCAGTTAGAGTGCAAGTGCTTTGATTTGAAGTGCAAAAGGAATAGAAGACTCTAGCGGGAGAGGTAAAGTTTGAAGACAACGATGATATATCTTCAAGGGAGTTTGGGAATCAAATTCAAAGTGGAGATTATTGAGAATGTATCTTTGATTCTTTGTATACCTTCGTAAGAATTAGATAGGGTTAGAGATCTATCATGATTACGAGATTAGGTTTCATCTTGATTAGGATTTTGAATTCTATTCTAATTAGGAAGTTAGGCTAGAGATAGATTTTTTTCCTATATATCCTTCTATTGATGGAGGAAAAACCAAGCAGATGAGAGAGAGCTAATATTCTTGTAATCTAGGGTTAGCAGAGGACGTAACCTGATTTAAGAATATTGTACGAGAGGCGAGGGTTTCGTAGTCTTTGTTCGTACAAAAGATTACATCATTAGGAGAGGATTTCATAGTCTTTGTCCGTTCAAAAGATTGTAAGGAGATGACTTTGGAGATAATATGAGAGTTGATTATGTATGTGAGGTTGAGAGATTGAGAGACGAGAGTTGAGTGATTCCTCTTGTAGTTCTCTCTGATACATAGTGGATTTCTCGTATTTTTGTCCGTGGACGTAGGTCGAAGTTGGTCGACCAAACCACGTAAATCTCGGTGTTCTTGCTTCTTGATTGCGGTTATATCTATCTTATTGATTGTGGGTTAGCTTCCGAGTTGCGCAGTTCGCAGTAGGCGGGGAGACTAAATTCCCTAACAGTTAAGCCATGGAGCATATCTCCATTAATTATCATTCTATTGAACAAGCTGCTATCAACGTTATCTTTTTTGGCATATTTACTTTGACAAAGAAAGTGGGCCTTCATCTAGAAGACCAGCAGGAAAATCAAAAGTGAAGGTATTTTATTATTCACTTTCATTAAGTTGATCTAACATTTTGAAGTTTGTAGCATACTTTGCTGATTTCTGTTTGAGACCATAATTTTTCATTAATTTTGCTTCAATCTGCATGATCATTTTTATTGTTGATGTGGTGAAACTTGAAACTGTCAGATAGTGGGGCTGTTGTTGGTGCAGACATACCTGGTAAAACAATTATAGGGAACAATAATGTCATTGGACACCATGCAGTGGTCGGAATAAAGTGCCAAGATCTAAAGTACAAGGTCAGTTCTTATTTTCTATGTAAAGCCTTTCAATGCTTAGCTTGATATAGACTTTTGTATAACGGAGCCTTCAGTGATGTTCTAAGGTTAAGAAGTTCCTAAGATGTTCTAAGGTTAATAAGTTCCTAAGGTTGATACTTGAGGCCTTATGTAATGATCCCATTATTAAAACATCCCCCCCCTTCCCCTGCAATTGTATCAAATATTCTAGAGCATTGATACAAAGGTAAAGTGTGTAGTTATTAGCAATCACCCATGATATAAAAGCAAATGTATATGAATAAATATAAATGGTGTATTGTAGGTTGTCTAAAAATCACAATAGATAGCTTATCCCCCCATCAAACACCGATGATGGAAGTTACAATCTGACGACTTCCAGAAGGCTACAATTTGAAGACTTTCACGTAGATCGCTGAAGGTTACAATCTGACGATCTTCACGACAACCGATGAGAGCTCTAGTTCAACAGCATTCACAATCAACATCGGGAGTTACAATCTGACGACTCTCATATTCTCAAGGAGTCAAGACGAAGATTACAAGACAATGATCTTTGCAACGCTATGACAAAAGAGATTACTTGTTGATAATCTCTCCAAAGCAAGATGCGGAACTCATCACCGCACTCTAAGACCAAAACGCGGAGATCCTCCCCGTGTATCGACACCAAAACGCGGAGGTCCTCCTCGTGTGTCAACATCAAAACGCTGGAGTCGGACCCGCGTCACAACATCAAAACGCGAGGGTCGAACCCACGTTACAACATCAAAACGCTGGAGTCGGACCCGCGTTACAACATTAAAACACTGGGGTCGGACCCGTGTTTTTTAGCACCCAGCGAGTAACCAACTCCGCGTCTCCATTCTAAAACGCAGAGTTAGGGTCCTGAACGCCGACGTGGGCGTTTGACTCGTTCAAACACGAGCTGAACGGTTGCAGGAACCGTTTTTCCTCCACGATTTGAGGGATTTCCGCCCCACTTAGGAGCGGATTAATGGGACGGTTACACCCCTTAATTCCCTATAAATATGGGTAAAATCGATTGAGTTCAGGTTGGCTTTTTTGGATCGGAGAATTGGCAGCGAGGTTGGAGCAGAGGGGACTTGGCTCTCGGTTTGACAGCAGCAGAAGAGATCCTTGGAGCATTTTCTGGAGCTTGGGAGATCTGCAACAAGAGCTTCTTCATCCTTGGCTTATCAACCGAACTTTCGGTTCAAATCAACTCTTTTTCAAGAGTTAAAACTCGTTCAGAGTTATCAACTCATCAAGAGTTTCAAACTTGCCACGCAAGTTCTCCACAACGTCAAATCGTGAGGAGAAGATATCGTTTTAGTGAATCAAGACGCGTGGATCGTCAACGGAGAGCAAACTCGACGCAAGCATTCGAGGGAGACACTCCATCACTACCGTGAAGAACCCAGTTTTAAACAAAGGGGAGAATCAAATTCATTCTCCTCTTTTTTGTAATCGGAAATCCAAATTGTAATCGATTTTGAGAGAATACAGGTCAATTTTCTTTCACTGTCTTTTTACTGCAAATTTTCCCACAAACATGTATGTTCTTAGTTTTTTATGTACGTTTGTTTGACACTATACAGGTTATGCAAGCTGGTATATATTCATGTCTATTTACCCTTTTTTGTGGGCATGTAGTATGAAGAATCTAGCCGTGGCCATATGCATTGTATTTTATATGAATCCGGTGAAGCTTCAGTCTTTTGACTCTTCCCACTTATGGTCTGTTGTGAACCGTGTTGAAAATCTTTGTACTTAATGAATCTATCAAAACTTATATGCCCATGGATATAATTAAGTGGCTCAACAAGCTAGCTGGGAGCAAATTGTTAAGGCATTTGATTGTTGAAGGAGTGCTTATAGGTTTGAGGTCGCTATTGCTTAAAGTTTAATCATTAAAAGCATTCTGATAGTCCTCACTTTCTTCTATCTGTCATATGCCACTTGAATCTTAACATATCAATGGATGTATTTTAGTATTTTACAATTTCTCATTCATAAGGACACTCTACTTAATATTCAAAATATTGATAGTTTACACTGTTGACAAAAGTTGAACATATATGTTACAGTATGTCAGTAACTGCCGTTGATGTTTGTCCTTTCAGCAAGAGGATGAAAGTTCCCTACATGTTGGTGACAATAATGACATCAGAGAGTTCGTATCTATTCACCGATCTTCTAAATCAAGTGACAAAACGGTATGTAGATAACTAGAGTATGAAGCATTTCTATGCATTGCTCGTTTACTGACTTTTTATGATTTCCCAGGTTATTGGTGATAACAATCTTATCATGGGGTCTTGTCATATTGCCCATGACTGCAAAGTTGGTAATAACAATATTTTTGCCAATGGCACTTTATTTGGAGGACATGTAGTAGTAGAAGTAAGTCATTGTTTTGCTTATGGCTGCTTAGATTTTTATTAGCAGCAGAAAGAGCAACTTAAAATACTGGATGTTAATGCAGGATTATACTCATACTTCTGGGGCTGTTGTCGTTCATCAATTTTGCCATATAGGGGCGTATTCTTTTTTAGGCGGAGGTTCTGTGGTATGTCATTTTGTTTATAAACCTTTTATTTCTTTATTCATTGGAATCTTTACAATCCTTTTAACATTTAGAATATTGTTTGTCCAGTTGACTATTACATTTTATCTCAATCATGTAGTTATCTTGCTGGGTTAGTCAGATCATTATACATTTAGAAGTATTTTTTATCATGTTTATTGTCATGTCTATCAGTATTTATATGATATTATTGCATCTTTATCATGTAGTTCCTTTCTTGGGTTTTGGTATGTACCTTTAGAAGAAAGATATCCAAGCATGTTAATGATGTATGTTTAGCATGGTGTGCTGAATATTACCTCCGTTACTACCTATTTTAGAACACGTCTGATTGTTTACAACATTATCATTATCATACTGTTTGCTCCACAATGAAGTGCGAAGGGATGCATTATGTCAGGGTGGCTTCCATATCTCGTGTAACTTATGACGGACAGTCATATTTTAAACCTCGGCTTATGTGCAGATGTGAGACAATGTCATTTTGTAATCTATGCAACAGATTTCACAGGATGTCCCGAAGTACATGATGGTTTCTGGTGATAGAGCTGAGCTTCGGGGCTTGAATTTGGAGGGCCTGCGCCGCTGTGGATTCTCAAGCGCTGAGGTTAACGATTATCTGAAGAAGTTGTAGTCATACATATTACTCCAGAACTTGCTAACTTTTCTATTTTTGGTATTCAAGGTTAGAAGCATGAGGAAAGCTTATCAAAAGATTTTCATGTGCAATGATGCAAATTTAAAGGGCTTTGAAGACCGACTCTCTGAAGTGGTACACACATTTCTCTCTGCCTTTAAATTTAAAGCTTGATGTTGATGAAACTAAGCCAAAAAATTACAGGAAGAGAATGAAGAATTAGCTAAATGTCCTACTGTGCACTCTATGGTGAAATCTATCCGCGAATCTTTTGAGCAGAGTCGCCGAGGAATTTGCAAGTTTGGGCAGTGGAGCAGTTCTTGACCAATTGATTATTGTGAGTTTCAGTGTGCTACTTTACTCAGAAATTCTTTATGGAATATAATCTGTTAAATTCTGTTCAATCTGTGGCACTTGCGGCATAATGATATCCTTCTCATTGTCTGTCAACATCACGGAAATGTATTTCGAATTGATCTTTCAATTTTTAGGGAATCAGCCTCTCAAAGGTTCTGCTGTTGTACACTAGAAAGCTCGACGACGGCCTTCTTTATTGCCTGATTTTCTCGCCAGTATGGTTCCCCGAGGATTCCTTGCGACAAAAAATACTTGTTGTAATTGTTTTTGTTGTATTATATAGAGTGCTTTCAAGAGATGTGGGCAAGATGCAATTATGTAAGTTGTTTTGGTGGAATTGATTACCTACCAAGAATGTGTTCTTTTTTTTTAAATTGTTCTCATGACAAAATACACGGGAATATTTTGATGCATAATTTTGTGATTGTTTTGTTAAACTGTTCTGTTCGTAGGTTATTCGCAATCCTGAAATTAAAGCAAATTAGTTTTAGAGTGGTGTTAGATGCATATCTCCTACCACGCCACCAACCACACCACCTCTCCCATCGCTACAGTAAACCGGACCTTACATGGGATTTTAAAATTTGTAAAATCCCATGTGGGGCCTGACCCGGTTTGTTGTAGCGATGGGAAAGGGGGGTTTGGTTGGTGGTGTGTTAGGGGGTGTGCCCCTAAGATTATTTTTAGTTTTACCCTCAGGCATTATTAAAGAAAGGGGAAAAGAAGAAAAGAAAAGGAAAAGGTCAAAAAAAAAAAAGTATCTGAACCGGGTAGGATTATATTCACTGATCGCATTTTGGTTCGGGCCCTAGGTCTTCTTCCGAGTTTCGGGCCATGGACCCACCGCACCTCTGCTACCTGATCCTGTAGAATCCGACCCGACCCGTTTCCAATCCGTGGCGACCCTTTCGCATCGGACGGTCGAGAATAAATCAAGCACGCCCCTCCCCCATTGACCCGAGATCTCGAACGCCAGCTCGCTGCATCGTTCCGCGTACCGTCAACAACCTCCAACCGGTCCGATCCCTCTCATCATTTCCCGCTGCGGCCCCTCGAACCCTAGGCCCGCTCCCCTCTCTGCTTCCCATCAAAGGTGCGTTTTCTTCACATCTGTCGACGAGTTCTCCGATCCTAAGCGCTCCGATCGAGCTCCGTACGAGTAGCTAGGGTTTTCTAACGGATTCGATCGACGCCTTTCTGAATTCGCAGGCGTAGGGCCCGGCTTCGCTCGAAATGGCGGCCTTCAGAGGTTTCTGGAACAGCCCTGTGGGCCCCAAGACGTCTCATTTCTGGGGGCCCGTTGCCAACTGGGGATTCGTCGTCGCCGTATGTTTCTCGATTTCTCGATTTGCCGACGTCAACATATTCAAAGATGTTATGTGTTCTAAACCGCTAAAATTTATAAATGGCACTTGGGTTGTTATAGTTTATATATATTTAGATGTTACGATTTAGATGCTCCCTATGGATTCAAGGTTTCAAGAGTACATTATAAAATTTTACCCTGCCGATAATTTATACGGGACAAATTGCAGATACCTTTCTCGTCTACACCTTCAATAGCACCCCCCGCCCCCGTCTATTTCGAGAAGGATAATTTCTAGTGAATTAGAGATGAGGAGGGTTTATCTGCTATTTACCTATAGACGTACATATGTATTATCTGCCTTCCCTAATGGCACAGTAAATTTCTCACTAACATTTGCATATACCTACTATATTACATTGGAAGAATCTGTTGTTGATAAAGTAAACTTTTCGTCGCTATTTTTTGTCATCATGAACCTTGAGAAATGAGAATGCATTCACTTAATTGCATTTTAGGTGACTTGTTCATGGAGGAATGCGATGCATGTACTGTAAATTATACCAAAGTGATCTAACCATCATATCAGCGTGAGAGAGTCAGACGGCATTGGCTTCATGGATGTTCTATTTTTGCCCCCTTTTTCGAACAAAAGTGCCCTGGCCTTTTTGCTGAAGTCTCTTATCACCTGTTTTGTAACTGAGCCAAACCTTAACCGGATGCGCCACAGTTATTTTGGTTATGCATCATATTATGTCATAGTTGTTATATGATTTGACCCGCGTTTGATATGCAGTTATTGCCCTTATTATAATTACTTAATATTCTATCACTTATTGTGGTGATCTGGATCACTTAATTCTAGTATAGTGTTGTGTACTATAATTATTTTACCATTAGCATTTAATAATGAATTTGGTTTCTGGATGCATTCTCAGGGTTTAGTTGATATGCAGAAACCTCCAGAATTGATATCTGGCAACATGACTGGAGGTCAGCAAAAGATATTTTCGAAAGATTTTCCTATTGTGACCTGATTCTTCTGACCTCTTATTCTTGATCCTGCAGCTATGTGTGTCTACTCTGGTCTCTTCATGAGGTTTGCATGGATGGTTCAGCCTCGAAATTATCTGCTTCTAGCATGCCATGCCTCTAATGAGACGGTGCAACTCTATCAGCTTTCTCGTTGGGCTAAATCTCAAGGGTATGATTTCTTTATTCAGAGTTTTCTAGTGCACTTTTTGTGTGTGAAATATTCTCATTGTGTGTGAAATATTCTCATTGCAATTTATTTGGCACAAAAATCTGAAGTCCTTCAACGCTGTAGTTTGCCACCCAGTGTCTGGAGTTCCTTATATATATATATTCTATCATCATTAATTGCAATTATTCAGCCTGAGGTTGCAGAAAGATACTATAATAGAGTTGGACATACAAATATCTATTTATTTATTAATTTACAAGTATTTTTTTGTTACAAACTATGCATACTTGCATAAAATCTGTCTTGTCCATGTTCTCGGTATAATTTGATAGAAATGTTTAGTCCGCCATCTGTTTCGTTCAGCATCAGCCCAAGCTCTTGCAATGGCAGCTCTTTGTTTGATTTAATGTGTGGGGTTAGAAACATGTAATGCTTTGGGATCTAGATTCTTATTGTTTTCCAGCATGATGTACTTACAGTTTGGTATTAAAATTGGTCTATACAACTCATTTTGGGTTCTCTTACAACTTCAAGAGGAAAATCCATAAATATAGAATATTAAGTCCTCTACTGTTGCCTTGGACTAGCTATTTGCATGCAATTTTAAATAGAAAACCTTAGTCTGAAATTCCAACGGAAATTAAGAGTGTTACTGTCAGTTTCAATAGTTGGGGTTTTCTGATATTCTCTGAGTTAGTGAAAAAAAAGTTACAGGTTGTTAAACAAACTTCTCAGTTCACATTGTCAAAACTATGACAAAAATGAGAAGAAAATTAAAAAAGAAAACTGTATTAATTTTCTTATGAGGGGATATACATACTTTGATTGATCACAATCTTCACCATATCAGTATGTTTGGTATGGACTGGTATGACATTGTTGCTGACTGCTGAGAATGTTTAATTTGTACTGAATGATATAATATCCAATGTTATGTAGACAGGAACTGGGAAGTCAATGCTTGAAATCTATTAGATGGAAAATCATCTGGGGGTCGAACACTGACATTGGATCAAGCAATGTTTGTTGTGTGACTTGTGTCTTTTTAAAAGGATTTATGTACAGCAGAACAACCTAATGATTAGATATCCTTTAGAATCTAATTCTTCATACTATTGAGACTCAACTAAGGTCCTTCTATTTCACATTTTCACATAAGAATGTGCTGTAGACAACATTATAGTGCAATCTTAGTTCCAATTATGGTAAGGTGTAGATTTCTGTATTAGCAATAGGGGATTCCTAATTCCCTCTTAATACTCCCATTCTATATTATTTATATATGGTGGACGTCTGCTCCTGATTTTTAAAGAGAAGTAATTTATATGAGCTTTGCGTCGGTGCTCCGAAAAGCATTATTTATTTATTTATTTAATAAAAGGGTAATATTGTAAAAAATGTCTCTGGGATTTCTTCCTCATTTGTTCAATCCCATACTTCTTACTTTGTATCACTTCCTTACATCCACCTTGCAACATCCATATGAAATGATTACACCCACAAATAACACGATCATTGAGAACTTGATACAGATTAAGATTTCTTTGAACTACACACACACACACACATATATGTATGTATGTATGCATGTGTATATATAGATATGTATGTATGTGTGTGTGTGTGTATGTATGTATGTATGTATATATATGTATATATATGTGTATATATGTGTACACACACACACACACACACACACACACACATATATATATATATATATATATACACATACATACATACATAGATACGTATATGTATATGTATGGACACACACACATATAGATACAGACATACATAAATGTATATATGTTCATATATGCATAAATGTACACGCACACGCACACACATATATACACATACATAAATGTATACACATAGACACACACACATATATATACACACACATGCATACATAAATGTATATACATACATATATATGTATGTACATCTACATACACATACACACACACATATACATACATAAGCATGCGTATATGTATACACACACACATACACACACACACACACACACACACACACACACATATATATATACATACATACATATGCATGCGTATATGTACACACACATATACATATATACATAAATGTATATGCATACATGTATATACATGTTTGTGTATGTATGTGTGTGTGTGTGTGTATAGCCGTGTCATGTGTGTGTGTATGAGCAATATGGAAGAACTTGATACCAAGCACAACTTTTTGTGCTTGGTAGTGAGGTGACTCATTTCCATCCACTCATTCAAATGGGGGTTCACATTCACATATGTTGGAGAGTGGATAAAAATAAGATATCTCACTACCAAGTACAAAATTTGTGCTTGGTACCAAGTTCCTACATTTTTCTATATAAATATACATGCATACATACATACATATATATGTATATATATGTACATACATATATATATGTATATAGATACACATGTGCGTGTGTGTGTGCATACAAATAAGATATCTCACTACCAAGTACAAATTTGTACTTGGTACCAAGTTCCTACATTTTTCTATATAAATATACATACATGCATACATACATACATACATACATACATATGTGTATATATGTACATATATATGTATATAGATACACATGTGCGTGTGTGTGTATACACACGCGCGTACATATAGATATGTATATATGTATACTATATATAGCCATGTCCCCGTATCCTACATTTTACAAGTTTGCCGTGACTCGTGTCCGTGTCCTCACCCGTATCCATGCTACCTAGATTCTACCCAAACAATCTTTTATAGATTTTTTATCATAAAAGCCAAAAGCCACTAAAAGTTGACATAACTTAAAAGATTTTAAAAATAAGCCCCTCCAAGCACTCTTTACGTAGAAGATTACGGTGTGTTTGATTGAAGGAACCGGAGGAGAATGGAGAACACATAAAATAATGGGGAAGGAAGAAGCAGCTGGATATTGGTGGGTAATTTGGGGGACGGGAGAAGCTATGGGGATGAAGAAGACTGTGCAGAAAAGGGACATGTATAACTTCCCATGAAAAGATAAAGAATTTACCAATCTGACAGCGGAACTCATAACCAGCATTTCACCGGTTTAAGGGGAATGACATAGAATTGGATTTGCAAATATTATTTACCAAGTGTGCATGGGTACTTTATTGTTATTATTGTTATAATTATTGGAGTTCCGAAGCTGATGGCCTCTACATTAGCAATCACATGGTTTAGATTTGTTAGGCTATCTCCTTACTCTTTGGTACTAGGAACAACTGTAAGCTTAGTATATTTAGGGTATGTATTATCTTCCGACCTTTTATGGTGGTTTCACGGCATAGTTATAGATCATTTCTGAGAGTATTCGGCTAATAGAGGAGCATGGGATGCAGATGAATAACTTGAACATGGGTGGAAATCAAGTTTTAGGTTAGCAAATATCCTACTTTGAGCATTGGATTAGAGCAACTATTCTACACAAGTAATGAAGGAAGAAATATAGTTGTAGATCCATTCCGAATTATAATTTCACAGGCACATGAAAATGTATTATTATTTTGGTTAGGAATTCGCACCCTTATTTCCATGAAGAAGTAACCTAAAAAAACACTTTGCAGATTGGCAAAATTTTACATGTTATGGTTTCTCTCTTAACAGGTACCTGGGAAAGAAAGAGACGGAGACAGAAAAGGAGCAGTGACACGTATAGATGACATTCTTGATGGAAATGTGCTGTGATTTCAATAAAATGCTCGCGTGTGCTTTCAACAATTATTCAGTCTTCTAATTTGGCCAAGGGCATCAGAATCTTTCATGTTACTACAATTTCTTTACGAAACTTTTTTTTTTGTAATTGTATGATATTTTTCGACGAGAGAGTTTATTATGTTTGTTTGGAACATCCTGATCTTATTACCCCGAAAGCAATGACCTCAAGTATACCCTAGTGCGTTGTTGCATACAGGCAACAATCCTAGCGTATAGCTTTCATGGAGTAAAGAAGTGATATTGTGATAATTGCACGCTCTTTTTCTCTACTTTTTTTTTTATTTAGGTGGTGTTTGGTTCAACCGTTTTGTAGAAAAGTTTTAATAGAAATTGAACCAAAGAGCCCCTTACTGTTGAACTAGGTACCGCCTACACTATCATGAAACCATCTTTTTTTGTTGTTGGCTTGCGGTTCTTAATATTTTATAGTTTACGTACTAAACATTTCTATTTGAGATTGTTGCTAGTGAATTGTAGTTGCGTATTCGTCTACTTGGTATAAATGAGATCGAAAAGCTCGATCCACTTGTAAATATTTCAAGGCTTTTTGATAATCTACTCGTTGAAATGGCGCGGAGGAGACAAGGCTCGGCTCGTTGCATGTTGATGTTTTGCGGTGGAAAAATTTCTCGTCTCTAATATTTTACTGTAAATCAAAATAATGCAATGAAAAGGGGGAAAAAAACTAAATCCGGTTGCAGATCTGAAAAAAACTTTCTTAGAAGGACGAATGAACTACTACTTTGTTTAGGGGCTGTTTGGTTGTATGTTTTTACCATGTAAAAGGATGTAAAGTGTAAAAAAGTGGGTCCCAATGTCAGCTTTCATCACTTTTAATTGTTTGTTTGTAGTTGTGAAAATAGTGTAAAGTGATTTCATATGCTGATGTGGCTTGTAAAGTGATTTCATGAAAAAAAGACATGATTTTAGGAGAAAGTTAACATTGAAGTTAGGAAAAAATAATAAAAAATAATTCCAACCAATATGATCATTTGAGTAGGGACCACTTTTTACACTTTCCAAACAAACAATTAAAGTTTCATTTTGCAAACCAAACAAGTGTTTTATGATTCCAATGGAATCAAAAACAAACAATGAAAAGTATAAAAGTGAAATTGATGAGTTGGACAACAACTTTCCAAGTTGTGTCATAAATACACAACTTTACCAACAACAACCAAACAGAGTGGTTACATAAAGTACGGATTTGGGTGCAAACTTCTTAAAACAATAAGAGGCGCTTTGTAATTTGAGAAGACTTTAAAATGTAATTCTTAAATTGTACGGATGCGACTGCCTAACAATCCGTATAGATCCGCAGCTGATAAGGGGCTGTTTGGATGCTTGTTTTTGAGAGGTTTTTGGGGGTGAAACCTGCCATTATGTCAGAAACGTTTTTGGGTGAAAACCTACCATTTTCTGACAAAATGACAGGTTTTCACCCCCAAAAAAAACATCCAAACAGCCCCTTAATCATTGTCAATTTTCTAATGGTGAGATGAACTTGGAACTTTTTATTTTTATTTTCAGTAATCGTGTTTTAACATAGTTTGTTTGATTTTCAAATTTCTACTTGCCACACCTCTCATTGCTAAAAAATCACTTGGAGAAAAATCGCGTTAATATCTCGCTAACCCAAACCCAAGCTTTATAACGAGGCCCAAATATCTACCCAAAAAAAGAAAAGATAGAAAAAAAAGGCAACATTCCCTCCTCTCGATCTAGGGGGTTATAACTAACTAATTTCAAATCAAAGGAATCATCACAGATCTCAAACGAACATTACTACTTCATCTCTACTGAGCTTCACTTCCTCCTCATCTCCAGCGATGAGATCGGCGATCGCCGTCGTCTTCTTGGTCTCGATCTCACTCTCTCGCTCTCGGCGGCGGCGGCGGAGATCTCTTGGATCTGGCCAATGCGACGACGTCGCCGCCCGTCAATGGATCGCTAAGGATAGCTTCGCCGACATGTTCGATCGAGCTCTGCAGAAGGAGTTCCCTGAGAGCGAGCAGAGCACCGGAGGTTTGCAGATCTCTTAACTCTGCTTTTGGTTCCGTCAGTTTGAGGGGGTTAGGGTTTTTGAGATGAGTGTAAACCTTGTGTCCTGCTTGAATTTTCTTGGAATTTTCTTGGATAAGAGAAAGATCGTTAGGCTTAATTATTTGACTTCAAAAGCACAATTTAGCAGATCCTTTAACCGTTTCTTGATTCCTTTCCTTTTATTTTTTATTTCTTGAAAGAAAAACTAGACTAAAGAAAAGGGGACGAATTTTCAAAACCACCCTATTTGCAATTTTATTTCCTAAAAATGACCCATTTCAAAATTATTTGTAAAAACCGACCTGTTTTCAGTCTCAGCGCTGAAACCAGGTCGGTTTTTACAAAAAAAGTTTCAAAACTTCATGGGACTTCAAGTCCCGTGAAGTTTAGCGGGTATTTAACCAAGCTGCTAAACTTCACGGGACTTCAAGTCCTGTGAAGTTCTATAGTTCAAACAAACTTCACGTGAAATTTGTTTGAATTGATTTTGTACGTGCGCACAAGCAGGTCTCCTTTGCTGTGCTTTACTCATTAACACATTTAATTATTAGCCTAATCAAAAGTTGAATGCGCGAATAAAGAAAAAAAATATGCAGATCCACTTCATCTAATTAATTGAATAAATAAGGAGTAGTTCAGCGCGCCAATCCAATTCTCCCAGAATTCAAGGAGGAGCGCCATGGAGCAACAGGACAGCTGCAGGAGCTCCTTCAAAGATCCGCCAGCTCAGCCCACCCCACCGCCTTAGCAAACCCTACCACCGCCTTCTGGGCCCCATTCAGCTCCCCATCGTGGCCATGATGATGGTGGTGGCTGTCGCCATGGGAGCATGACGAAGCACGGGGAGGGAGGGGGAGGCGAGGGTTTAGAGGGAGAGAGGTTATGGGGGTTTTGATTCTGACGAGGGGGAAGAGAGAGATGAGGGGGGAAGGGAATCTGATGATTTCGTCGGGGATGAAGTCCAGGGCTAGTTGCATAATTTGAGAAATAGAATCGCGTGGGATTTTAGTCTGTTTTCTGAATAAATCTTCACGGGAGTTGAACTCCCGTGAAGATTTTTGAAGAATTTAGTCTTCACGGGAGTTCAACTCCCGTGAAGTTTAAAAATATGCTAAACTTCACGGGAGTTCAACTCCCGTGAAGTCTCGAAATTTTTTTTTCAGAAACCGACCTGGTTTTAGCGTCAGGGCTGAAACCAGGTCGGTTTTTGAAAATAAGTGCAAAGGAGGTCGTTTTTTGGAAATAAATGCTGAAAGAGGTTGGTTTTGAAAATTTGTCCAAGGGAAAAGGAGAATTACAAATGTACGTGACTAAGTTCTTTTTGTCTCTTGATTGTTGATGTTTTCAGGTGTGAATAGGTGCTAATTCTTCTTCTTCTCTTCTTTGCAGAAACTGATCCGGGTGGTTTTAACAACAGCGTGGCTGAGAAACAGGTTCTTTGTTTACTCTATTTGAATTGCTTTTAGATCAATATTGGGTTGTAGTTATTGATAAAGAGGAGATATCAACCCAGAAAAGACTTGGTGGACGGTACTCGCAGCTATTACTGTAGTGTTGGCTTGCGCAAAATGATCGTGAGCAAAGATTTCAGTTGGACGGGAAATGGGCACATAAAGTCATTGTATATTGTAAACTCCTTTGCAACTGAGGAGAGCCTAGCAATAACTTCAACATCGAGTCTGAAATAAAAGAGAGATTTCTTTAAGAATTGTTATTTACTCTTAGGTGCAAATGGAAGGTAGTATAAAGCTATTGAAGAATACCTCTTATAGCAAAACTTTTTTAAGAGAGTCACAATGGACACAGTAAGAGGACCTTGAGAACAAGTATAAATGTGAGTAGAGGTTTGATGTGTATATTATATTCTACTAAAAGTTAGGTTTGGTCTGGATACATATTGATGTCATTTTCGCTTTGGAGAATTTTGGAAGGCAATGGAGGTTGAGAAAGAGAATTCTTTCTCACTGTAATGTTGTTATAGTCATGGATGCAACATCTAGGAAGCATGGAGACATCCACAAGGAAAACCTAGTGTCTATTATATTTCAAATGTTAGAAATTTTCCTGAGTTGAGAATTGTAGAAATAGAGATGCGTGTCACACAGAAGGCTGTCTTTTATTTTGGTTTTGTTTTGTTGCAGATAACAATTTCTTGAAGTGCTTCATATATGTGTTTTGGTGCACCAGGCAGTTGTGGAAACCGTTGCTAGAGTTACATCAAAGAAAAATGAGACCAAAGAGGAGAAGTAAGTGCTGTTGCTTGTAAATAGAATGGTTCTGTTCGAATTATTTTGTTACATTAAAGCAGTTCAGTATAGATGATTTACTTCCTTGCATCTCCTTTTCAGATCATTTCAGTTTCATAATGTTTTTAATAATGAGGACCAGTCAGAAGACATCCCCACACTAATTGACCGAAAGGTACTATGTTAATTCCATAAGGGTCGGTTCTGTTTAATGCTATTTCAGATATTATTATTAGTGCATATAATGTGTTGGCTTGATTGTGCCCATTTCTGCAATTGTCAGTGACTGTTTTTCTCTTGCTCATGAAATGAAAATTCATCTTTCAGGATAATGTTTTTATCATATCAAATCCCAAGTCAAAGTATCCAATTTTGAAGCTAGACCTGAGGTATGCACACTGAGCTTCTTCAGATACTCATCTTTTAATTTTTGTACCACTATTACCCTAACCATAACCAGCACAATTTGTTTGGTACCGAGCCACTTGTCCTTCACAGTCCTTTACTAGTCTGGTTTATCATTTGTTTTTTTGTTTAACTGGCCTTTTTAAGCTTCAGTCAAAGATGTGACTCTAATTTGAAACTGCCGAAATACAGATTTTCATACCTGCAAAAGACACCAATGATGAAAATCAAAGTGACTTCAACCTGACAACATTCCTATCTTATTTAAGTAGTAGACATGACCCTATTTCAACCACTGTCATCTCCTTCCACTTAATATTGCATGAGCTCCATTTTTATTGTCTGTAATGTTTTTTTGCCCTATCTTTCTAATTCACATAGTTCACTGGTCTAGCAGGTCAATATATGTAAGCAATGCACGATTGCAAGTGACCTGCTGTTTTTATTTGCTACTGCACATGGAAATAAGTTTTTAGTGCTAACACAAAATTTAATAGTGTTTGTTGGTAATTCTTGTGTTTATCATTTTAAATTACATGCATGTAAATAATTTCTATTGCATTACTAGTTACTGCTGTTTGCTCTGAATGTGATGAACAACATGACTCATGTGCTACTGAAGTAGAGAATGTCAATGATTTTATCATCAACCCTTGCTAGTGTTAATAAGCATTTATCAAGGAGGTGCATTTCTTGGTTTTCCTTTTCTATTTTTTGCAGCGGCACAGTAATACGTTCTTTTCCAGCATCGCTCAGAAAGTCAGCCTCTTCTTTCCAGAGTATTTTGCACTTCATTCTCCTTAACCAACCAAAAAGTGCTAAAATTAAGTTCTTTATTACTTTAGCTCCTTGCTTGCTGCCCTTAATCTGCCACCTTCACCTTTTCATACATGAGGCAATCTTATTCTCTTACGTTCCTATCCTACCATGTAGGCAATCTTATTCTCTTATGTTCCTATCCTACCATGTGAACATAATAAGTAGATTTGGGCCTTTAGTTTTCTTGTCGAATTCTCCAAGTTTTGTGACTAGCCTGAACAGTACCGCAGACGTAATCTGCCTTTTTCTTTGCCCTGTTTTGTTTACAATTTAATTTATCTGTTTGGCAAGGACCTCCAGCGAAGGCGGTTTTCAACTTTTCATGCAGTTACCACAAGTCCTTCCTCTCGAATTTTTGTATAGTGAACTCCACATGGTGAATATGTTCACAGCTAGGCACATGAGTATTTCAAATAGAATAATATTACTTCTTTTTGCTCACTTGAGGAATTTTCTTGCTTTTTTTACCTTTCTTTTCAATTCAAATATACCTATCTTGAAATGCCATATGCAGCTCTAACTTTATATATAAGAAAACAAGTGATACATCTAGAGGATTGTAGTCTGTAACGAGTCCATCTAACACCAGTAAAGAAAGATCCAAATGATACATGAGCATTATTAGCATGCTGTCTCCCAGCAACTAAGATCCTCCTATTGACTCCTCCATCTTGTTTATTTTATTATTCACACGTTTTCCCCATTTGTGCTGCACTGGAAATTATTCACAGTTAGTTTCAATTTTTTTGATACTAACTAGAGTTTTTGTTTGCTATTAAGATTATATGATCTACTTTTGTATTTTTTTTAAAGTAATTTCTGTACATGTACAGGCTGATATCTGATCTTGTGGCGGTTATTGTATCCGCAACTTGCGGTGGAATTGCCTTTGCTTGTATCGGGCAACCGGTTAGTATTAGTTGTAACCATTATATATCTATGTTGCACTGTAATACCATTATGTAGAGATGTGACGTGGGTGTCAAGTTTGGAGCGTCCTAATGGTGCCTGACACGCTGAGTCTTAAACAAAAAGACAAGGGCACATGAATATTTTTTAGTGCACATATACTCAAATATATAAATGCTGATTTCCTGTACTTAGAAGAGCACCATGCTCTATGCAGCACTATTTGTTTACTTAAGATATTAAGAGTCTTATCATGGACAAATATAGCACTTGTCAAAGTTTTCCTTCCATTCTTCCTAAATCACCTGGTGTAGGCTTTTTATATATCACCTTGGAAGTATCTGATCCATAGGATATATGTCCAAGTGTCGTGTTTTACCCAAGTATCCAACACATCAAAATTTTGTAACATGGAGGTCTGTTAACTAGGATTCCTTTCAAGATGGAATTGCTTTATCATTTGGGGGAGGGGTGTGGATGTTTCGAATTATCGACCCATTTTTGTTTCAGTGCTTAAAATTTCATACCTTTTATCTCTTATGAGAAACTGGAGTCTGTTTCAGGTGATCACTGGATATTTACTTGCGGGCTCCCTCATCGGACCTGGAGGTTTGAACTTTGTCAGTGAAATGGTGCAAGTAAGGTGCTTTTATTATTAAATTTTCAGCATCTGTAGCATGGTTATGTGCTCCTTACATTATCATCTTATAGATCAGAAATTCAGAAATCTCTTTTAAGAATTCATAGGTAACTTGATATTTCATAACATATTTATTTAGAATGCGGAAGCTTGCTGCTTTATCGTATCCAGTTGCTATATCTTAAACAAAAAAAATTTCCGATGTGCCTTACCTGTGTTGCTTTATTCAGTTAAAACAGCTTCATTGTCAAGCTTTTATCTCTTAATCAATAAGCTGCTTTATCTGTGTCTTACCTGTGCTTAGCATGTCTTTCTTCCCCAATTCTTTTTTGCAGGTTGAAACAGTTGCACAGTTTGGTGTAATATTTCTTCTTTTTGCATTGGGTCTGGAATTCTCTACAACAAAGGTTAACTATTTGTTTTTAAGCTATAATTTAGCATTGTTTCCACATATAGCTTTGTAGTTCATCTGGTAAATTTTGACTCTTAATTTCTTAACATTGAGTCTTCAGCTTCGAGTTGTTCGTACTGTTGCTGTTCTCGGGGGTCTACTCCAAATTTTTCTATTCATGTGCTTATGTGGCATAATTGCATCGGTATGTTAAAGGTTCTAATCAGGAAGTTTTGCTGTACTGCTTAGTTTCTCATTTAATGAAGAGCATCTAATAATTTAAATTAGTTGAAAATATCAAATAAAAATCAGCATTACGTTGTATCCAAGATCTATTGCAATGCTTATGTTTACACACACAGAGACATGCTTACTACAATATTCAACTTGTAATCTGTCCATAACAAACATAAGTACTGCATGGTAACATACTGGTGCAGATAGACATTCATGTTAGATGTATTTTCATCCTGTAATCTGTTCATAACAAAGACAAGTACTGTTTAATACAATGCTAATGCATGTTTAGACAATTTCTAGGTACATATGAAATTGAATGTCTCTATGTAAGCTTGTGGTCTGTTATACTGCTTGTACTATAAATTCCATTTTAATCCATTCCATGTCTTTTCTTATACAAAAGCTTCCACCATATTTCCGACAGATCTGGGACACCTGCCAGGAATTTCCTTGGGTATTTTTTGCTCCAGTAACATTTAGCAAATGATTCATCACCATCCTTTCTAAACCATTTTTATAAATATTTGTTGATTTTCAGTGGCACCATGCAGCTTTTGTATGGTTTCTATTTTGGGGTCTTGTGTACGTTCAAGAGTACTTTACTGATTTTTATAATCGTTTAACTTAGTATTTGATATTCTTAATAGAGTGATTTTGTTAATGATGATGGTACTACTTTTTTGCAGTTATGCGGGGGTAAGCCTTCAGAAGGTGTATTTGTTGGCGCATTATTGTCAATGTCTTCAACTGCAGTGGTAATTCTCTAAAATTTGATTGAAGTTTCTTTTCCTGTACTTAAATGCATGTGTTGTTTGATGCTTCTCTGGGACGAAGAAGCCCCAGTGTGACTTCTCGGCAATTTGTATTGTTGTAAAGACACAATAAGTAACAAATCAGACAAGCTATCTCAAATCACATTTAACAAGGAATAATTATTTCACTGTTTTTCATTTTGAAACCTAGTTAATTTTGTCATCAAGATAGTATTTCTATGCTTTAGATAACCACAATATTGTGCATCCTCAGACTTAACCTGTCACACTTGCTATTCTTGCATGAACTATGGTCCCCTTCTCTAGGGAACCTGATCGCAAGCTATAGTTTTCAGAATCCTTGGCGGTTTCTGCCAACTTGTTTGCTGGTTTCTTATCCTTTTATACCTTATGTGCGCTGAATTTGCCTTTTATACTGTCAAGCTTCTCATGCAATGAGTCAAGTGGGCAACATTGAAATTTCTTGTCTAGGTCATATAAAAATGACAGTTGTTTAACCTTTTCCTGCATCTGCAACTTGCTTGTTGTTTGACAAAATGCCTATGATCTCTCTTACTTGTACAGGTCTTAAAGTTTCTCATGGAAAGAAATAGTATTAATGCTCTCCATGGTCAAGTTACTGTAGGCACTCTTATTCTTCAGGTGCTAGTAGCCGTTTCATAGTAGGCAATACGTAGTTCCAGCAATAAATTTCTTCAGGCAAGTCCATTTTACTTATCGAGTGAAGCTGTCTTTAACTCAGGATTGTGCTGTTGGTTTGCTGTTTGCATTGCTTCCAGTTCTTGGTGGTACTTCTGGTGCTTTACAAGGAGTAATATCCATGGCTAAGTCGTGAGTGAACTATCTATGAAGTCTGACAAATTTTCTTTTTTCCCCCTTTTCTCTGTGCATGCGCATGTGTGAAAGTTGGATGACATGGTTCTTCACCAAGTTTCTGTATGCTAGTAATGCTATGTGTTAAACACATAAGTTTGATTATGTGCTTCCTCAATCAGAAAAATGACCATAAAATTTCCTGTTGCAATTGTCATATATAGCTCAGTTAGTATAATCTACTCCAGTGGTTTAAATATTTCTTAAGTGAAATCCATAAAGACAAGATCATTATCACGCTTTCTTTGAATAGTTTTTCTTAACCAGTAACACATTAGTGAATAAGAAATACAAATGCATTTTACTGAAGCACAGATAAACATAGTGAATGTAAATATTGTTGAAATCTTCCACCTGCCTGTTGGGATAGTAGTGAGTGAGTTCTGAATGCAAACTCATGCTTTGAAATCAAATGGGGTTGGATGCTGCTGTTGATATTGTTATCAGCTGCATGGTGTTTCCTGCATGTCATACAAATTTGTTTTAGCCTGACCACATATTGATATCTAGGGTATAAATGATGTCCATGGTTTATATTCTATTTCCCCTTGTTTGGTCATCGGGTGATTGAGCTTTCTGCAGTATGTTTATCTATTAGAGTTCTATGCTAAGATTTTTCAGTGTTAATAGAAAATTAATTATTTAATCAAAATGCAAGTCCTAATGGAGCTTTTCTTTCAACAGTTTGATCATGCTGTGTACTTTCTTGGGTATCCTGTCAATATTATCGCGAACATGTGTTCCTTGGTTTCTTCGGCTGATGATAAGTCTCTCATCTCAGGTAGTTTTGCTTTTATTCCTCAATTCGTATATGGGAAACAAATATTGTTTGTTAGTAGACATTTCATATTATGACAAATGATCCTAACAAAAAAAAAAAAAAATCATTGCAGACCAATGAACTTTACCAGTTGGCATCAGTTGCATTCTGCCTGCTTGTTGCTTGGGTTTGTGTTCGGATCCCTTAACAGTTGGCTCTATGTTTGAATTTTGTGTTCATTATAAACTAACAAGTACTTTAAATTTTGTTTAAAATTACTTTTACCTATTTACTACTTCTTTTGTGCGCATAATAAATTTAATTTACATTGTGTGCTTCCTAAATCTCTGCTTGAAGCTTAAGCTCTAATGTGAGTAAATTTTACTCAAATTAGAAAGGAAACTTATTCAATGGCGTAATAATATGACTAACTGTGAAATATCAACTAGCAATTTCATAAATTTAATGCATCAGCTACATTACTGGCAATCTGGCCTGAAGCATAATTAGTAAATCTTCTGTCTAAATCTGTTCCTTTCCATTGAAATTTGAAAATGCAGTCACATAGCTTACTTCCTGATCTAGATGAGCCAGCTATGGAGCAATTCGCATTATTATCATCATCTAAGTATTTCCTGATCTAGATGAGCTGCCTATGGAGCAATTCGCCTTGGGAAGACTCTTGGGATTGGTCGGCCTTTTCTAAAGCAGTAGTTGACATCCAAGTCTCTCAGCTGGTGTCATCAATTAAGTGACGTGTGGGCTAAAGAGTGGTTTGCCTAATTTAGCATGCTAGTGGAAGTTAGGGAAACCTGCATTATAGTTTAAGCAGTTTTAAGCTATTGCGACCCTCCAAAAGTATTATACCACAAGTGTAGAGCCTAGTAATAGGGGGAAATGATAAAGTGCTCTATGGGAAAGGCATGGTAGGAGCCTAACAAGCCAAATTTGCAGAAGCATGACATGCATCTCTTTTCATATTCTTGAAAAAATTTAGTTTCTTTAATTTCTTTGGAACCTTCTTATGGTTTTCCTTATTGTTAGGCAGGATAAAGCACAGCCTCCATGAAGCCCTTTTCAATATTTAGTTTGGACTGCTACAGAACCGTAAACCTGAGATAATCACAGAACAGTAGTTTGATCTATGTTATTCCAGACTTATACCTTTTTAAATATAATACTCTATCAACTGAGCAAATATATGTAATATATTTAACGAAATCTCTAAATCGCTGCTAATATAGACAGTATCTGATTCTGATAATTGATCAGATCCTTTACTCAATATCATTCCTTAGTAATTATGAGACAATCCATATTTACATTTAGAAGCTTCTTATGCCACTAGCTTTATTGAAATTTCTATCCATATCTTATCCGTCTCTCTCCTTGTCTTCTGGTCTTCATGTCAATATGTGGTTTATCTTTTCAACTTTTTGCTTGTTCAGAGCTCATTCTGCAAAGGTTCCTGTGGATATAGAGAACTAGATTTTATCACATTGGCTGATGTCTAGTTTGATTTATGATAAAAGCACATACTTGTTTCCTTATTTTAGAAATTTCTGTACTTCAGTGTAGTGACAAGTTAGGCCTGAGTTTGGAACTTGGTTCCTTTGCTGCTGGAGTGATGATATCGACAACTGATCTTGCACAACATACTCTTGAACAAGTATGTTTTCTTTTTCTGTTTCTTTTGATAACTTTTTGTATATTATACAGCTGATGTTAACTTCAAACTGCAATTTTTTTTGTTGCATTTTTTTTTCCTTTATAGTAAATATGATCTCTAGATGCCATTGTTACAGTTTGTTGATTAATCTACTAATATGGAGATTTATTATCTTTTCATTCAGATCATGATTTTTTATTTTTATCTAATGAAAAGAACAAACTTGTTGCTCAAGCTTGTGAATTGATTTCAGTTGCATTTGCGTGTTTAGCTGCTATTGATTAACCAGGAGCAGTGAAAAACCTTTAATTTTAGTTTTAGCTTTCTTGATATTGCCTGTTTGCTTACTGTTCTTTTTCTAGCTTCACCAATTTTTAATTTTAGTTAAAAGAATATTTGAAAAAAGGTGGAAAAAGAATGGGTGAATCTGGAACTTCTTAGTTTTAGCTGTTTTCAAAAAATTATATACAGTATAGAGGATATGGCCTTAAAATATAGTAATTTATTATATATTTCTTATTTCGGGTTTTTTCTTTCTGCAGATCGAACCCATCAGAAACTTCTTTGCTGCTCTATTTCTTGCTAGTATTGGAATGTTAATTCATGTTCAGTTCCTCTGGAACCACGTCGATATTCTATTAGCAGCTGTGATTTTGGTGGTCGTTGTGAAGACATTTATTATCACCTTTGTTGTCAAGGGTTTTGGCTACACCAATAAAACATCAATTCTTGTAATTATGACTTTCCTCAGCCGCTGACCATTTCTACATTATTAGTCTTTTTTAATCTAATCTTTCACACCTCTGTAAATTGTAGGTTGGAATGTCGCTAGCACAGATTGGAGAATTTGCTTTTGTGCTTTTGAGTCGTGCTTCAAATCTTCATTTAGTTGAGGTTAGACAGGCATCACCTTCATGTTCTCTTGTTGACAAGCATATTTTATGCCCACCATAAATTTCTTCTATATACGACTTCTTGTAAACTTGAGCACATCCCTCTTGTTAGATTAAGTCTATTGGGTATTGGGTTAATGGGCTGTGACCCGTTAACCATACCCCTATTTGTATGACTATATATATATCTCTCTAGTATCTGAATAAATCAATTAAGTTAGGGTTTTTGCTCTCTCAATTATCTCTTTCTACATGGTATAATTTCAAAATTGGAGGTGCTAGCCGTGCCGCTACAGTACCCGCGCGCCGCTACAGTACCCGCGCCGGTTTGTTTTGTCCTTTTTTTTCCATGGCCTTGAATAGGTGATTCGAGGCCACACATGACCCGATCCGGTCATCTACTACTGCCTATTTTTTTTTGATCTGCTCTTAGTCTATGTTTAAAGACAGATCTCTACTACTGCCCTGACTATTTGACTACTACCTGCCTACCACTATTGTGCAACAATGTCGGAAACAGATCTCTCATCCTCTTCTACATCTCCCTCTGTTGCTGCTGGTCAGACTTTTGCGCCCAAGGTAGTCTTGGGGACTACAATAAAATTGAATGGTACAAACTATCTGCTCTGGGCTCAGGCTTTCCGCATCTTCATTGGCGCTCAGAGCAAACTTCCACATCTTCTGGCCTCTCCTCCACCCACCACAGATCCCACCTACAGTTCCTGGCTCTCGTCTGATTATTGTGTTATGACGTGGCTCCTTAACAGCACGGAACCACAGATTAGTAGCAGTGTTATGTTCTTAACCACTGCGAAGGAGATGTGGGATAGCCTGAAGATTATGTACGGGAATGAGAAGAATGCTTCCCGTGTATTTGAGATTTATGAGCGACTGTTTACGCTCAAACAGGGAGATAGGTCAGTTCCGGAGTTCTTTGGTGAGTTAAAGGGATTGATAGACGAACTGGAGATGCATCAGCCTACAGTATCTGATGCGGCGACGCTGTTGGGATATCGCCGTGACTTAGCAGTGTCCAAGTTTCTTTCTGGATTGCACCCTAACTTGCAGTCCCAGGTGAGAGGACAGATATTGGGTGTGGATTGCACCCTAACTTGCAGTCCCAGGTGAGAGGACAGATATTGGGTGGAGATACCATCCCCTCACTAACTGCTACATTCTCCAGAGTCATGCAGGTCTCTACTGGTGTTTCTTCTGATACTTCTGCACCGTCTCCACCTTCAGTGGATCAGTCTGCCATGTTCTCTAGTAGAGGCAGAGGCCGCGGTCGTGGTCGTGGTCGTGATTCTGTGGGAGGACGTGGCTCTTTTAGTGGGAGACAGGGTGATTCTGATAGGGGTTCACATCAGTGTGGTCACTGTGGGAGGACCAATCATATTTCTGAGAAGTGCTGGGAGAAGTTTGGTCGCCCTCAATGGGCCCAAGTAGCCGATGCCGAGTCGACTCGCTTACCTATTTCTACTACTATTTCTAGTGATCCAGCTACTATTGTTCCTACTATTCAGATTTCTCAGGCAGATTATGAGAGGTTACGCCAGCTAGAGCTCTCTCAGAACAATCATTCGGCTACTCATGCATCCTCTTCAGGTATGGATGCTTACATAGCTTCTCCTCATGAACCATGGGTACTAGATTCCGGAGCCTCATCCCATATGACAGGTATAAAGGATCGTTTTGTCTCTTTACATCTTTCTGATAAGTTTCCCTCTATTCGCATCGCTGATGGTACACTTTCTCCAGTTCTTGGTGCTGGAGTAGTTCATGCTACTTCCTCTTTGAAACTCACTGATGTGTTATATGCTCCTAAATTCCCTGTTAGCTTATTATCCATTAGCAAGTTTACAAAGCACAATAACTGTAAAGTCACATTCTTTCCTTCTTATTGTGTTTTTCAGGACCTAGCAACTGGGATGACGATTGGTTCGGGGCATGAGAGAGGAGGTATGTACTATTTGGACGACAGTGTGTCAAGTGCTGGTCTTGTTGCAGTACAGCCTGATTCTACCTTACTGTGGCACTGGCGTCTGGGTCATCCTTCACTACAGAAACTTAGATCGGTAGTTCCTGTTCAGTCTTCTCTTTCTTCTTTAGGTTGTGAGTCATGTGAACTGGGAAAGCACCATCGTGCTTCTTTTCAGAGTCGTGTCGATAAACGCAGTAGTTTTGCGTTTGAGTTAGTTCATTCTGATGTCTGGGGTCCTTGTCGTGTTCCCTCTGTGAAGGGTTTTCGATATTTCATTATTTTTGTTGATGATTTCTCTCGCATGACTTGGCTATATTTGTTGAAAGAGAGGTCTGAAGTCCAGCATGTTATTGAATTTTTTTATAATGAAATAAAAACCCAGTTCTCTACTTCTGTTCATATTCTTCGTACTGATAATGCTTTGGAATATATGAAAAATGACGTTTCAAAATTTTGTGCTCTTAATGGTATTATTCATCAAACTTCATGCTCTCACACTTCACAACAAAATGGAGTTGCTGAGAGGAAGCATAGACATATTCTCGATGTTGCTAGAACACTGATGATACATATGAATATTCCAAAGTACTTGTGGTCGGATGCTGTCCTCACTGCCTGTTATTTGATTAATCGCATGCCTTCCTCTGTTCTTGATGGTTTGATACCATTCCACTGTCTTTATCCTGCTAAAAAACGTTTTTCTGTGATTCCTCGAGTTTTTGGTTGTACGTGTTTTGTTCAGGATTTGACTGCTGGTTTGGATAAATTGTCTCCTAGGTCCATTAAGTGTGTGTTTGTTGGATACTCACGTACTCAAAAAGGGTATAGGTGCTATCATCCAAACACCAGGAGATATTTTGTTTCTGCTGATGTTACCTTTTTTGAGTCTGTCCCATATTTTTCCTCTGGTTCCACTACCTCTGTCAGTCCACAGGTGCCACTACCTTCTACGGCTCCCACTACTATTCCGGTATCTGCTCCTGTGGCTACTGCACCAAAGCCTCTACTGACATACTCTCGCCGTCCGAAAGTACATACACCTGTCTTTGCTCCTGCTGACTCTTCTTCTCCAGCTGCAGGTCCATCTCATGTCGAGCCTCATATCTCTTCTGACTTAGATGTTCCTATTGCTCTTCGTAAAGGTAAACGGTCTTGCCCAAAATATCCTATCTCTCTTTTTGTCTCTTATGACCGTCTCACCTCATCATTTCGTCAGTTTGCTTTGTCATTGTCCACTATATCTTTACCCAGGTCACATGAGGAAGCTTTGTTAGTACCCTCCTGGAAACAGGCTATGGATGAGGAGATGAATGCACTGCTTTCTAGAGGGACTTGGGATTTGGTCTCTCTACCTGCTGGAGCGACTGTGGTTGGCTGCAGATGGGTGTATACATTGAAATATCGTCCTGATGGGTCTGTTGATAGATATAAAGCTCGCCTGGTTGCTAAAGGATATACTCAGACATATGGTATTGACTATTTTGAAACTTTTTCTCCCGTTGCTCGTCTCAACTCCATCAGAATTCTTCTCTCTCTGGCTGTTAATATGGATTGGGCGATGAACCAACTAGATGTGAAGAATGCTTTCCTTTATGGTGATTTGGACGAGGAGGTTTATATGGAGCAACCTCCTGGGTATGTTGCTCAGGGGGAGAATCTTATCTGCAGGCTGAGAAAGGCCATCTATGGGTTAAAGCAGAGTCCTCGAGCTTGGTTTGATAAGTTCAGCAAGGTTATTTCTAATGTTGGTTTTCAACGTTGTCAGTCTAATCACTCTGTCTTTCTTCGACGCACAACAACTGGTTTGGTTATTTTAGCCGTATATGTTGATGATATTCTGCTGACTGGGACTCTCTACTAGATGATGTTGCACGATATAGGAGACTAATTGGGAAGCTAATATATTTGACAGTTACCAGACCTGATATTACTTTTGCAGTAGGTGTACTGAGCAGGTTTATGCACAAACCTAGAGAGGTTCATTGGACAGCAGCTCTGAAGATTTTGGCATATGTCAAAAGTTGTCCTGGCAAGGGATTGTTATATAAGAAGCATGGGCATACTCACATTTCGGCTTTCTCTGATGCTGGCTACGCAGGAGACATGGGAGACCGAAAGTCAACCTCAGGATTTTGTACTTTTGTTGGAGGTAATCTTGTGACTTGGAGAAGTAAGAAACAAGATGTAGTATCACGATCTAGTGCAGAGGCCGAATATAGAGCAATGGCTCACACTGCTTATGACATGGTGTGGCTAAGAAAGTTTATGACAGAGCTTGGTTTTGTTCAGCCTGGACCCATGCCAATGCATTGTGACAACAAATCTGCCATTTATATTGCACAGAATCCTGTGTTTCATGAGAGGACAAAATATATTGAAGTTGACTGCAATTTTGTCAGAGATGCTTGGGAGAAGAAGATAGTATCTCTCATATTCACTCCGTCCTCACAACAACTTGCTGATATTCTTACCAAGGCTACTTCTTCAAAGGTGTTTTCTACTATATGTGACAAGCTGGGCATGGTGGATATTTATGCTCCAGCTTGAGGGGGAGTGTTAGATTAAGTCTATTGGGTATTGGGTTAATGGGCTGTGACCCGTTAACCATACCCCTATTTGTATGACTATATATATATCTCTCTAGTATCTGAATAAATCAATTAAGTTAGGGTTTTTGCTCTCTCAATTATCTCTTTCTACACCTCTCTTTTGCATCAAGATGCTTTTGTGGTTGATTTGACATCAGTTCGCCCTTAAATCTCTTGATATGATGGAGCATATTGTGGGCTCAAATTCTACTAGTTGAGCTCACCATTCGAAAGCCTTGTTTGCTTATATCCTTAGTTTTTATTGGAGGCAAACAGTTATCAGATGCATACTCTTTAAGAGAAACCATCGGTTTTTGTTTTCTAAAATTTAACATTCTATGATCTGTCAATTAACAATCATTTTGATTATTTGTGCAGGGAAAAGTCTACCTGCTACTAATAGGAACAACTGCTTTAAGCCTGGTATTCCCTCTTTGTCCAAAATCACCAATATACTACAGTAGTACTTCCTCGCAAAAAGCTAAAAAGTGTTGCCAGTAAACATTTTGAATAAGTCTGTACAATAGTCTTTGCAGTTAACTGGATATAATTTCAGTAATGTAATTGGTCTTAGAAAATCTCTTCGCAAGGGGTTCATTCGAGTAGTAAATGTGCAGGTGACAACTCCATTTTTGTTCAAGTCGATCCCAGCAGTTGTTCATCTTGGAGTCCTATTACGATGGTTTTCACCAGATTCAAGTCAAGCAGAGGTGAAGTTTGTACCTCTAGCAAATTGTGGCATTTATTTACACGATCTTGAATTTTTAGGTTATTTGGATTCATGTTTCTCTATGAAATATCCAGATGGGATACAAGGGCGAAAATCTCCGCTCAGATAGTGGTAAGCACATTAATTTGATAGTCCAAGGATCTCGTGATTCATGAACAAAAATACATTGACATAATCTGGATGACAAGCGCTTCGTTGATCGAAGGAGACCTGACTGCTAACAAATTTTAACGGCATAACAGGGGCCCATCAAATTGACAGCCTTCATATATTACACTCAACAACGATGAGAGCGAGAGAGATCGGAAATATGGCGAACTTGATTAGCCGCTGATGCTTTGAATTTTTTTTTTTTTTTTTTTTTATGGAATTTTTTTTTTTTTTTTTTGTAATGATGTATCCTATCCGATTTAATTTTGTGTCTGTTCGTAGAGTTAGTGAAGTGGGGAACCCACTATACGAACAGCACTGAATGTAGAGTATGCTAGTTGATGATTCATTCAAGTTAGCTCTTGTATGTATTCGACCGTCATTCTTCATGCGTTGGTTTTTGTTACTCCTAGTCAAAGTCTGTATTCCGTTACCCTCATGAAGAAATTTTCTAAATAAACTCATTCATTTTTTTTTCTAAAAATAGACCTCATTGAGTTTTATTTACAAAAATAGACTCATTTTATCTTAATCCGGTTCCTAAATAGTCGGGGTTGGCAACCCTGACTATTTAGAAACCGGATTAAGACAAAATGAGTCGATTTTTGTAAAAAAAAACTCAATGGGGTCTATTTTTAGACAAAAAAAAAATTACGAATAAGTTTGTTTAAAAAATTTCTTCTCACCCTCATTGCTTCAACTCTTGGTCGACCTGGGAAACCAAAAGGAATAAAGTTCAAAATCACCGTAAATGAATTTCGCTACATGTTATCCAGCGTACAATATACTACTCGTAGGAGTCACGCGAGGGTCGCTACCGCCCGCGGCAGTAGAGGGACGCGCGTCCTAAAAATGAAAATTAATCCTAACATTAACCCTAAACCTAACATTTGCCTATCCTAATTGCGCGAGTGTCTAGGGGCAGCCGCGCTCGGTGACTGTCCTCAGACTTCTTCACTACTCAGTTCCTAGCGAATTTTAGCAAATATGAATATAAGTTTTCACTATCTAAAAATATTCATATTGGGCGTCGGACATTTAGGCAGTCTATGGATGCGACAAACGACATCTGATACTAGGGGTGAATTTTTTTATTTTTTTTGATATGATACATGTTTATCGCCACATATCTATATGCAACACAATATGATTACAGGCGATAGTTGCAATTGTTCTCATTCTTAGATTATTAGATTTGAGGTTAATTTTGATGATTAATAAATCTAACCTTAGCTTTTCAGATGTAATGATTATAGTAATGACCACTGTTGTATTGTAAGGACTATATTTCCTCAATGTTATTTGGTCTTCTCGTATCCGTTTTTTCATCTGCATGAATATCCATAATCATATATGATTTAGCGGATATATATGAGTTTTCTTTACCCAAATATACCGGTGTCTGCAATTGGTTAACGAATATGAATATGATAAGCGATGTACCGAGGCGTATGGGGACCCTTTGATTTCGTATCTGATACACATCCGATCCATTAGCACCCGTATCCCGCGAACGCATGGTTGCGGATCCATTTTGAACCCGACCCGTTGCCAGCCCCCTGACGCTACGAAAGAACAATTTTTCAAAATAGGCTGATTTAGTTTTTTATTTTTCAAAATCGATCGTTTTTTTTATTTATCAAAATTGACTTGGTTTTGTGATTAGCAGACTAATTACTATCCTAAATAGTCGGGGTTGCCAACCCCGACTAATTAGGACATTAATTTTTAGGGTTTAAGACCTTTAATTAGGGTTTAACACCCTCCTAAATAGTCGGGGTTGGCAACCCCGACTATTTAGGATAACTAGTTTAGATGCACGTGCAACGCACGCGGTTGAATATCATGATTATTTAAATTGATAAAAATAGAATAATAATAAAAAAATAAAATTATTTGTGGGATTGATCATCAACTCAATAATCTCTCTCAAATAAAATATTGTTATTGTTTTCTTTAACCTAGACTGTGGCAACGTGATCTACTATTTGTGAGTTATAAATACGTTGATCTAATACGACATCTCTGTTTATTAGTGTTTTAAAATCTTTAAAATATGGATGATCATTCAATTCACAAAGGAATATTGCATATGTATTTACTTACAATAGTACATTAAACTTTTAGTTATGATTTGACTCATATTCACATTAACTTTTAGTTGTGGTCTCACTTATATTCAGATTACCTAATGTTCTCATTCAATTTTACAGATCATTCTCTGAACCATAGAAGTAAAACTAAAAGTATGAAAAATTATTTTCTTACGAAATTAGAGCAGCGAGATTATGATATATTTCGCTATATGCTCTAAATATAAAAATTTCTTTTTTATGCAATGTTCCTATCAAATCTTTCACCAAACGATGTGAATAAAAAATACTATTATAATTCACTTGTCTAGGGCAATTGTATTGTATATATGATATATAACTCATCTAGAATATCCACATCTGCTAAGTGAATTTTGTTGTTGTGAGAGCAAAATGTTAGGGTCTCGTATTCAAACTTTTTAGCTCTATAAAAGACATAAGAATTTAGAGTGCATAGCTTATATATTATAAAGAACATATTGGTTCATAAAGAATTTTACCTAATAACGATATTATTACAACGATATTACTATTCAATATTAAATCATTTTTATTATATAAAATTATATAACCTTTTTGAATAAATTATAAAGTATATATATGGAAACCTAGATGCTTATGGCCAGTAGTTGGGCTCCACAAAATAGGTTAATTTTATATTGTAGTTTGCTATTAGTAGCACTATTGGTAATGTCATTATCTTTCATCTTTATCTTATTATTCACGCATTTTTAATGTAAGTCATCTTTTGCTAATCACTCAATTGGCTATATTTAGTTTTTATAATCTCAGAGGTTAAAATATTCTTTTCTATTTATAAAGTATTGACATTGTTTTCTTAAAAAATATATTTATATAGTAGCAATAATATATATATTAATTCAATTCAAACATTAGCGTGAAGCCATTTAGAGTGAGGTCCTTTCTACGCTAGAATGGTGATAGTGGTTACACAATCCAAAAGTCAAAAAGAAAAAATTTCTATAAAAAAAGTAATTTAATATGTCAAATTAACAACTAATTTTTAAAATATACATGGACAATGTAGATAGCTATAGAGAGGAAGGTATACATCTTCATGAAAATTTCATTGTGAATGACCAACTATAATCATCATAACTTAAGCACGAATAATTATTATTTAGTTACTAATTTGGTATGAATAACTATGAAATAAATCTTAAGAAAAAATAGGAATTGAGATTGTATTATCATGTAGGTAAATAAGTAAATGTTATTAGAGTTCCTCTTTATATTAAATTTAAAAATAATAATTAAAATTATTAAGCACCAAATATTAGTTCATGTGAGAAAGTAAAGTAATCTATGATCTATATACATATATAGTCAATCAATTAAACGTATTTAAATTACGGTGACCATAGTCAAAATTATATGGTGGGTTCACATTAAATATAATTTATAAAAAATAGTACATTAAAATCAAAAATCATTTTAACCACTATATAGATTGCCTAAAATTTTTTGCATATATAAACTATACTGCCTAGGAATAGTGACGAGTGACCTAATACATCTTAAGAACGATTTACTTTTCAATATCATTGTTAATTGATGTATCTATGCATTATATTGACAATACAATAAAAATTTAGAAAACTATAAAAGAAACACCCTTAAAAGTTTTAAAAATTTTAAGGGTGTTTTATTCATTACTTTAAATGAAAAGTATGGGGAAGTAGTCACTTTTTATTCCTAGATTTCGTTCATATGGTTTTATTCATAGGGACAAGTCGGGGTCAAGTGGGACAATTGTTCCATTGGGCCAATTTAACCCCTTGGACAATTTGAGTGGGATAAAGTGAGATAATGGACAATAGGCGATGTATTTCCCAACCATGATAAGAGAATTAGGGGTCTTTGTGTATACATTGATGCCAGATGACACCGCATGATGTATGTGCATATAAAGATGTAGATAATTCTGTACCTTTTTTGCATCAAGTGATCAAAATTCTACTGCGAAACTTAAAAGTAAAAAGTGGCACGTCCCCTAAGTAACGACATTGTATATACAATACTTGGCATAAGAGTTGGGCATTTTTTTTTTTTTGGTCTTATTTCAAAATGTTAGCATTTTCTTAAGGAAAAGGCAATTGTGAATAGTCCCACATTGGAAGTTGAAGAGAAGTTCAAGTGGTTTATAATGGTTCACTTCCTAATGGGCTTTGAGTAATGTTTTGGGCCTACTAGTGTTTGTGCTCTTTCTCCACACACGCGCGCGCGCACGCACGCCACGCCCGGCAGCGTGATTTACGCCCAACGGACGAGGAGATTCAGCATCGGTTACTGGTTCATGAGGCTATATAAGGAGGCAGAGTTCATTCGGGAAAACACACAGAAATTCACAAAGAATTTCATAGCTCCCTCTTCCTCCTTCTGCTACTCTTAGTACTCAAAGATTTTCGGCTACATATTTTGAGGATTATTTTTGGGCAATCATCTTCATCTGAGCAGAAGCTCTGCTACTCGCGCCCGAGTAGAGAGGCCGGCCGTTTCCGGGGGGCTTTTACCGCTAGGGGGGAGGATCAACTACGCCAGGGCGACAGGCGGGTCCTCTATCTTCTAGGGCAGTGTATCACGACTGCACCCCGTTCAGGCCTGATTTTTCATAACTCATTTATTTTCATTTTTATCTTCATAGCAAGCATTTTGATGTCCTTAGAATGTTTTTATAATAACTTATTATCTGGTTTATCAACTGTTGGATATATAAAACAATTTTATTTAGTAACTATGTTGCTATTTTTGTCAGTAAATCTTTGTTTTTTGTCCTTTTACATTTGGGGTATCCTGATTGTATTTCATTGGATAATTTGCACTAAACTTATTATGCACATTAAACATTAGAGAGAACAACCCTAACTTTGGAGAGTTTCCAGCTTGTAATTACTTATGCTGGTTATTCTTGTTGCTAATTATACCTAATTTACTATTTCTATTTGCAGAATTTGAGGGAGATGTTCCAGTTGATCTAGATGGTAAGTGCCTGCTATTTTTATGCAAAAATAAATAAAAATAATTACGAATTAGACTTAATGCCGCCTCCTATTTTAGCCATGTTACTTTTGTTTAATTTCTAAACTGTTACTTTTACTTTATTAGTGAGGCTAGTGGTGTGAGCTCTTCGTGTCTTGTCTGCAATTTTGCTCATATTATTGTAGCTGTGTAAAAATATTCAATACATGAGCTTAGGATTTAGAAGTAGTATTAAATCTCAAATCACGTGATATGTATAGTATCTTGTTGAGTTCTTTATCACTTGTTCATTCTTATTCATGTAAATATTGTTATGAAA